CAAAGGCAGCCATTTATATTAAATTAATTTGTAAGAGATACGGTTCACTTCATACAATTTACCTACAATCTACAAATTTTAGTAAACAATACAGCTCTTCCAATGCAATAAAAATTTGCGACACCGTGGCTTGATTCGAATTACAAAGTACAAACCATTAATTCAAAATAAATCTTTCAAAAATTTTAGACTTAAACTACAATTCGACTATACAATGCAATTGTATGTCCGCGTACAATATACAATTATAAATGTGGACCATGCATACAATAATGCAATGGCTAAAGAATCAAATTTAAAGTAAATTCGACCATGGAACCATGAATACAAAATACAGTTTTCAATGAGTAACTTATTCATCGTTAATAATTCAGACTTGAATATGTAATACAGGGAACCCAGTTACACATAAAATTAGGTATATAAAGAAGCAAGTGTAAAAATATACATGTTATGAATAGAATGGCATTATCCTATCAAAATTTAATTTAAAAATAAAAAAAAAATGAAATAAAAATCAATTTGTACAAACAACCGCGGCACTCATGTACGATATAATTGTAATGACCATCGAAGCGTATTTAGTTACCCTCTCTTAAATAACTAATGACTCGACTGACAAAAATCATGCACGAAATTGTGAAGAATATCCAGCGAATTTCAATTGTTAATGTTCTTCAATAATTACGGCAGGTAGAATGAGTGAGGCGAAGTAATTTGCGGCAATCAGATTAATGAGGTCCGCTGGGCGGCCGCGGCCCAGGGGCGGAGCCTCGCGTGACCTGCCCGAGGGTCAGTGTGGCTCTGGCCGCGGTGGGGGGTGGTTGTGTAGCGCTCCGACGGGGTCTGCGCCCCACTCGGCCGCTACCCTTTACTGTTAGTCGGCCTTAGTGACTTAAAAATTCTTCTAAATTGAAGAATATTAACTTTTTATAAAATTAGTTGATAGTTCTTCAATTTTGTGTGTGGCAAAAAAAATTAGTACGTTTCCGCAAATGATTAGTACATGAACGATAATAATCAACGGAAAATTGAGAACTGCAGGACAGTTAAAATAAGCTCTGTTATAGATGCCTCGTATGGTTCTTTATCTACGATTCTGAGTTTCCATTACGTTCCTATACACTGTTGATATACTGAAGCTGCTTCTCTCAATCGTTTAAACTTGCAACCTACAACGAACTAAACTTCGCTATAAATTCTCTATATAAAAACATTTAATTCCCTGCTTTTCATTTATTTTTGATGTACGAATTAAAATGCTGAAATGGAATCAATTTAGGAGTTATATATAGTTAAGCACAATCGTAAGTTCTAACTTCAGTCTTTGTTTAGTTTGTTCATCGTTGTTAAGTAATCGATGACAATTTTACTAGTGCCAACTACATTGAAAGGTATTTTTTAATCAAACTAAATGTATTGTAATCCTAGCAACAAGTGTTAAATAGCTAACCTAAATAAGCGTTATATTCCCTCCTCCTTCACAGTCGCTATTCGTAAGTATATAAGTAGACAAATATCAGTCGATGAGATAAATTCCTTGTTTGACTCAGTTTCCACAGGACGAATTTATGTCAGTGGTGAATACTTAAATCCAATTTATTACCGAGCTATGGAAATATTTAAATGAATGCCAACTTAATTTACATATAAATGAGCTTCGTGCTTCCAAATTTTGATGCTATAACCATTACACATAATAGGCGCTGTGTTATAATAGGCGCTGTGTTATATTAAGCTCATCATTATTATACGCCATTCATTATTATTGCCTCTTCATTATTGTTACCTACTCAACAATAAAATTTCAATATTATAACTCGTTTATATATATGACCTTTTCTTTATGATAGCTCATTTATCGTTATATCCTTTTCATTATTATTACCTATTGAACTTCACAGACTCTGCATTAGCGTAGGCGATACAAAATTATAGCTTTATCTTCTGCAAACTTTCTAATTATAGAAGTATTTCATTATTGAATTCATACATCATTACAACCTTAACATCACTGCAGCCTCTACATCATTATAACCTCTTCATCATTACAACCTCTACATCATTATAACCTCTACATCATAACACCCTCTACGTCATTACACCTCTACATATGCATCATTGTAACCTCTACATCATAACAACCTCTACATCATTTCAACCTCTACATCATTATAATCTCTTCATCATTATAACCTCTACATCATTACACCCTCTACATATCATTACAACCTCTACATCATGTCAACCTCTACATCATTACACCCTCTACATATCATAACAACCTCTACATCATTATAATCTCTTCATCATTATAACCTCTACATCATTACAACCTCTACATCATTATAACCTCTACATCATGTCAACCTCTACAGCATTACAACCTCTACATCATTACAACCTCTACAAAATAGGCGCTGTGTTATAATAGGCGCTCTGTTATAATAGGCGCTGTGTTATAATAGGCGCTTTGTTATAATAGGCGCTGTGTTATAATAGGCGCTTTGTTATAATAGGCGCTTTGTTATAATAGGCTCTGTGCTATAAAAGGCGCTCTGATACACCAGGCGCTGAGTTATAACAGGCAAAGTGTTATAATAGGCGCTGTGCTATAATGAACACATCAGTATTAGAATAATTTCATTATTTTTTTCATTACTTTTACCTACTCAGCAATAACACCTCAATATTATAACTCATTTATAATTATAAGCCTTTCATTATAGCTCATTCACCATTATATAATTTTCATTACTGAAAACTCGCAGCAAATATGACCTATTCATTATTATAACCTTTTAAACTTGATAACTTCTTTACTATCGTAGGCGCTGCGAAATTATAACTTTATCATCAGAAAACTTACAATTTGTAGAGCATTTTCATTATTGAATTGATCATTATTATAACCTTCACATAATTACAGCCTCTTTATTATTATAAGCTCTATATCATTACAACCTTTCTATCATAAAAACCTCCTCATTATTATAACCTCTACATCATTACTACCTTTACATCATAACAACCTTTTCATTATTATAAACCCTACATCATTATAAACACCATTACAATCTCTTCATTAAAATACCCTCTGCATCATTATACATCAACATCATTACATGCTCTACATCATTGTAACCTCTACATCATTAAAATCTCTTTAATATTCTAACCTCTACATTATTACAACCTCTGCATTATTATAACCTTTACATCATTACAACCTTTTTATTATTATAGCCTCTACATCATTACAAACACTTCATTATTAAACCTCTACATCATTACTTAACCTTTTTATTGTAATATCCTCTAAACATTACAACCTCTACATAATTACAACCTCTTTATTGTTATATCCTCTAAAGCATTACAACCTCTACATCATTACAACTTCTACATTATTATAACCTCTACATGCTCAAAACCTTTTCATTATTATAACGGTTTAACTACAGGAGCGACAAAATTGTATCTTCTAAGTAATTATTTCATCTTCATCTTCATCATTATAGCCATAACATTGCTATACATCATTATCACATTCTCATTATCATACGGCTTTAATACACGCTAATAACTGCAGCATTATATATTATAGTACATTATATAAGCATCACACAAAGTGCAGTATTATTATGAGCAACGTATTAATTAAGCGATGAATTTCTATTCTATTCTTGTACGTACTGCAATACTACATTATTGATTTTATTTCTGTGCCGTATTAGGTGCAGTATCTACGTCAGTGCCGTATTAGGTGCAGTATCTACGTCAGTGCCGTATTAGGTGCAGTATCTACGTCAGGGCCGTATTAGGTGCAGTATCTACGTCAGGGNCTATTTATTAGCCTAATTGATGATCATTTATCTATTTATTAGATTAACTGATGATCATTTATCTATTATTAGCCTAACTGATGATCATTTATCTATTTATTAGCCTAATTGATGATCATTTATCTATTTATTAGATTAACTGATGATCATTTATCTATTATTAGCCTAACTGATGATCATTTATCTATTTATTAGCCTAATTGATGATCATTTATCTATTTATTAGATTAACTGATGATCATTTATCTATTATTAGCCTAACTGATGATCATTTATCTATTTATTAGCCTAATTGATGATCATTTATCTATTTATTAGATTAACTGATGATCATTTATCTATTATTAGCCTAACTGATGATCATTTATCTATTTATTAGCCTAATTGATGATCATTTATCTATTTATTAGATTAACTGATGATCATTTATCTATTATTAGCCTAACTGATGATCATTTATCTATTTATTAGCCTAATTGATGATCATTTATCTATTTATTAGATTAACTGATGATCATTTATCTATTATTAGCCTAACTGATGATCATTTATCTATTTATTAGCCTAATTGATGATCATTTATCTATTTATTAGATTAACTGATGATCATTTATCTATTATTAGCCTAACTGATGATCATTTATCTATTTATTAGCCTAATTGATGATCATTTATCTATTTATTAGATTAACTGATGATCATTTATCTATTATTAGCCTAACTGATGATCATTTATCTATTTATTAGCCTAATTGATGATCATTTATCTATTTATTAGATTAACTGATGATCATTTATCTATTATTAGCCTAACTGATGATCATTTATCTATTTATTAGCCTAATTGATGATCATTTATCTATTTATTAGATTAACTGATGATCATTTATCTATTATTAGCCTAACTGATGATCATTTATCTATTTATTAGCCTAATTGATGATCATTTATCTATTTATTAGATTAACTGATGATCATTTATCTATTATTAGCCTAACTGATGATCATTTATCTATTTATTAGCCTATCTGATGATCATTTATCTATTATTAGCCTATCTGATGATCATTTATCTATTATTAGCCTATCTGATGATCATTTATCTATTATTAGCCTATCTGATGATCATGTTTTCCACTCCAAGACTCAAGGCAGACGGGATAACATGTCCAGCCTTGTTCTTCAGGAACTCTACTTTATTCACAGGAATAAAAAAAAACTAACACAGGAATAAAAACTCTACTTTATTCACAAAACGAAGAGTTCATCTTTTAATTATGGTTGAAATTGCATGAGTAATAAACAAATATTCCTAATACTGACGGTCTTAAATTAAAGGAACACAACAGTCCTCAGTTGTTATAGGCAGCATGGACTTCTGAATAAACTTTAGTTACAGAATACAGCTATTGAAATAAAATTAGTTGCAACTTTTTCTATAGTGAACATCCAGATGGTGAACTTCAGTGAACTAGGTAAGTGGCCACTTTCAATTTAAATTTACCGATCAAGTTACGATCTTAACATTTTTTCAAATATTCGTTTTTAAATTCCCTCTAATGCCTTAAAGTTGAAAAATAAAATCTTTCAAAAGTAAAAAATTCACTCCAGTCATAAATGTGTTGGAATTCAAATGTCATGAATAATTGCTTGAAAAATACTACATTGCCTTTGGTATTCTATTTGTTAATAAACATCTTATTAGCTGTCATAGAAACATTTTTTCATTATTTATTTTCATTTTATTCTTGGTATAAATTCGAAATGTTTTAGCGCCGTTGCAACTAGACTGCAACAGCGCTGTTAGTCTGCGGGGCCACTGCGCCTCACTTCACAATGCTTAACTAATAGATTATTATGTACATATCAAGGAAACGCTTCAAAAAAAAATATTGCATTGACTGTTATAATTTCTACGATATCTTTACGCAAAAAAAAATAATTTTTAATTGTTTCCAGTGATGTGATGTATTATCTTTACAGGTATTATTGGTGAAGAGTGGTAGTATTCTAAATAAGTACAGTTCTTCGGTGAAATCTGACAACTTTTTATTGAAATTTCAAATTTTTATTGATTAATTAATGTGAGAGTTGAATGGAGCTTATAATATAAATAGGCATTACCAACAAAGATGATTACCTAATGATCATCCTACAAATATTACTCCTCAGGAATAATGAGTAGAATGAGTCAAACACGTACGAGTTTCCGATCTGCAGGAATGAACTTTTTATCGAGTCATATAACAACGCTTGCAATCCGTTTTAAAGTTACCATAAGATTAATTTATACATTTAATTTCTTTGGACATTCGCATTGCGCAAATGTATCGTCTATGCTGAAGTAACATGATAAAGTTATACAGCCAATAGGTACCGAATCAGAACCGAATAGGCACAACCGAATGGGCAAAGACCAAATATCACATAATCGAAATGTCAGGGTGCAATTAAATTCAACGATCTAGAATTACTTGGCATTGAATTCGATAGAACAACGTAATAATATTCACCGTTAAGTAATAAAGTGCCCACGCTACAGTTTAAGTAAGTGAGCAATTGACAAAACCTTTTAAATTGTTTTTAGAATTGACAATAAAATCATTATTTCTGCCAGGCGTGGGGACCGAAGAACCTCATGATCGGACCGTGTACAACAACTCTAACCACACAAGCATCCCCTTCAACAACAACCACAAGAACAGCAACCACTCAGTCAGCAGTATGTTGGTGTTTAGTACCATCACCTCAACCAACACCAACACTATCAGCAGCCTATCTTCACCAACAACCGGTGACAAGCTGTCAACCGCCCGCACTTCAAATTTGTTGCAGTCACTATCCAATGACAGCAATAATCCAACGACGCAGATTGACGTCTTGTCTCCACTTCAGCACAAAACAAACAATAAAAGAAATTTTCAGAGTTTTCATTTACACCACATACTGGACCAACCTCCACCTACCCCGCATATCAACGTGGTTGACGATGACGATCCAAACGATGCAAGTGATGATGTCAAAAAAGATCGCATGGGTTGCAACGAATCCAGAAACGGTTCCGATAGTCACGAGTCTCTTCAAACAAAGTCTGAGGTAAACGACGACAGGTCTTTGAATGAGACGCAGAAGGAAGGTGAAGATCCTGGTGAAGATGTTGAAACTGAAGGAGATCCTGCGGAGCCAGCAGGTGACGATGTGGAAGACGGCGGAGACGAAACATCTCCTAACAAGAAGAAGCAGCGGCGCTACAGGACCACATTCACCTCCTTTCAGCTGGAGGAGCTGGAGAAGGCCTTCTCCAGGACACATTACCCTGATGTATTCACCAGGTCAGTGGCGGAGGGTGTAACGTGGTAGGTAATTAATTTCTCTGCAGCTTAATCACGTAGAAGTAGTTGAATGGTGTTCAAAATTTTAAACAATTTGTGCTTTTGTGTCACAGGGGAAACTGAATGATTGTAAAAATTATTTTCTATATATTACAAATTATTGTAGAATAGCTTGATTTAACGTCAACGAATCCTCACGTCCACACATCCACACGTCCACACGTCCACACGTCCACACGTCCACACGTCCACACGTCCCGCAGTTTGGGACAAAACCCAATTATCTGGACGACATGCGAGACGCTCGGCGGTAGAGGCTGCCCCTGGAAGGAGTCGGTCGGTCGCGTTGGTTTTTTCTGTTCCCGAGGCCATTAGCGATCAGTGTTGTGAGAGTGAAGCAATTAAGACACGCCTTGTTAGTTCACTATTTGTTAGAGGAGTATTTGTGACCAGCTATTTTGTGTGGTCGCAGCCGCAACAGGTTTGTGAGGCATTATTCGAGCGAGTAATGAACTGCGACTTTACATTAATAAACCTTTTAGCACTGAACATGCGACTGCTGAGATCAGTTCTTTATGAAGGAGGTTTGTAGTTGTGATACACATATAGCAATGCATCTTATAAATGGATTTCAATCCATGAAATGATCTTATAGTGCCCACTTATTTATTGAAAAGAGTCTCCATTAAGAATAATCTAAAAATTCATTCATTTTCTTTCTCACCAATCGTTGTAGTTTGGACTTCTCAGACTGTATTTCCAGCAGCAAAACTTTATTCAGGTTTGCTAAGACCAGTGCAAGGCTATATTTATAGAACGTAAAGAACTTATATGGAAGCATAGCATCAATAAACAATATTCCATTACTATTATATTTGATGCCACTAATATTATAACATTATTATTACCAAATACTAGGCATAGAAATATTCATTATTTTTAGTAATATCTTGATTTGAAGTACCAGAGTATTTTTATATATTCTCATTACCAAGACATCATCATATCTCTGCACTAAGGAACTGTATCAGTGTTTTGGAGCATCAGCATATTTTACAGGAGATGCGATAAAGTTATTAGCGTTTGCCATTTTGCTACAATATTCCAACGTGTGTGAAATCAATTAACGTTGATAAAAAAGAAAACCCCTTTATTAAAGTTCTTTGAAAAGTGACGTAACTTTCCCAAACTGTATATTTCATTTAAGTTTGCCTCGTTCATGCCTATGGTTAAGTATTAACTTTATTTTCTGAAATCCAGCAACCTTTTTTTCATTTCTTTAAAATAATTGTGTCGTATTGTAATTTATGAAATAAAATTACTTCACATAAAATGACTAAATTTGTGAAAAAGTTCTTAAAATTTGTCAAGAAGACTGAAAAACCAGGAACTTACGAATTATAAAAAAAATCTTGTTCGCACCCAATGAAATTTGGACACAACCACACCACACTCGCCACACTACTGAGACTTGGTTGATGTGGTGGGTGCACAGTGGGGACCCCACGTGTGGGTTATGTGGCCCTCCATGCCACTGCTGCTGAAGAGTTGTGGGTTGTGGTGACCACCACCCCCACTGTGGTAGTGAACCTGGGGTTCAGGCTTTGGGTTTTGGTGACATAGCGGCTTGGGTGTTTTCTGTTAAGTGGGCAACCGAAATCCTGTTTAACATGACAATCGATAGTGGTTAAACCAAAACAACTGTCGTTCCAGTCAAATAGCTGTGGACTTTCAAATGTCAATCAATCATATGAATTCATAGTTTAGTTGTCTTTATCGTCGTCGTTAAAACTAACTTTATCGTCATCGTTAAAGTTAAACGCTCGGACTAATCACCTTAATCGTAAATTTCGCACTGAAAAGTCCTTTTCAGGCACGCTCGTCGTCAGCCATGCCTGGCTTAAACACTCTACCAATATTCGCCTCTCNCTTTTCAGACGCGCCCGTCGTCAGCCATGCCTGGCTTAAACACTCTACCAATATTCGCCTCTCCACAAGGTGGTCTGGTTTTTGTTCTCTAAACAATAGTAGCGAGTTCTTTTGAAGCAAGTGTGTTTTTCAATGTAGTGCGAGTGCCTTCTGTATGTTTTTTAAAACTCAATTCTATAGTATTTTTTGACACGGTTTGTTTTGTCTTGTTTTCAATGAAGGAACAGATTGAATTATTTACAGATGATGTGACTCGCTCATACTTTAGAGTTCTATGGGTATTTTTTAACAAGATTTAGAGTCCACCATTTTTGAGAAATAATTGAAATAAAACGTTAACAAAAATTGTTTGCATGTTTCTACTGAATATTTCGGATGTGAGAATCTTCAATCAAGTTCTTCTAAATGAATATCGGTAGATTTGTATTCATGTTGTGCATTTAAATCGGATAATCGCGTTAGGTATTAATTCAGACAACCCAGTGTTTAAATGCAATGTAATAGACATCTAACAAATATAGTTAGAAAAATATAGGAAATTATTCTGAAGAGATCAAATTAACCTTAGAAAAAGCAAGGTCCCAAAAAATTTTGTTACGATTAAAAAAATGTTTTCCTGACAGCTCGTAATTTCAATTACTTGAAAAAAAAATTATTTAGTCATATAATTAGTGCGTGCGTACATCTGGCGGGCAAGCATTGCTTTGCAAGCAAGCATTGCATTCCACACATGACCTGTTACGAACAATACTTCTCCGCAGTAATGAATAATAGTAATAGACATCTAACAAATATAGTTAGAAAAATATACGAAATTTTTCTGAAAAGATAAAATTAACCTTAGAAAAAGCAAGTCTTCCAAAATTTTTTGTTACGATTGAAAAAAAATTTTTCCTGGCAGCTTGTATTTTCAATTATTTGTAACCGTTATTAAACAAATTATTTAGTCATATAATTAGTGTTTCCATTCCACACATGACCTGTTACGAACAATACATCTCCGCAGTAATAAATAATTAGATTTCAAAAATCTCCCTAAAAACATAAAATGCGTTACTTACTTTGCTTCTGTATTATGTTTGTGCTCTCCCTGTATTTCAGTGCTTTTCACTTAATTGGAATCAGAGACCTGCAATCTAATAATAAATCTCTGTGTTATTCCTAAACTTTTGTATCATGTTTGCTCTCACTCGCTATTCGTATGTTTTTAGGCAAATAACAGTTGGTGATATAAATTTTGCATTCAATTCCGTTTCCACAGGACAGGGAAATCTGACTACTTGTTATATTTCCCTAGAAATAGGCACGCACTAATGACCTCGGTGGGATCTACTGAAATGAGAAAGTGGTAAACTCTACGGTGTTCACTGCTAACATTACAATAAGAATATTCGAAGTCTAAATAATCTTGGATTATGTCATTGTTCAATATTTGTACAGATTTTCTATTTATTTAGAATCGTACATTACATCAAGATAAAGGGGTTGTGTTGAACAGGAAACTTTGAACATTTCATTGTACAACATCAAGAGCCAGGGACGACAATTTAGAAAGGACGTTGAAGTTCGAGACGCTGATTTTGTTATGCGATTCACAGTGAATATTTATTTATATCATGCTTTTTTACTTCAGGGAAGAGCTGGCTATGAAAATCGGGCTCACAGAGGCACGGATTCAGGTGACTATAAAAACACTGGGATTCATTTGAGCTTCAGTGTTAAATTCGGTTGCAATATTTTTTATTCAGTTATAGTATTTTATCTCATAATTCAATGTGAAAAATGATAAAAAATATTACATTAAAATAAAAATAAAAGGGGAAAAGTATGACTACCCTTTATATATGTGTTTATGAATGCATGTGTATTTATATACTAGTAGTTAATTAGGAAATTCGCAAGTTCAAATGAGCAAAAAGTGTGCGCTTTCACCTCTGCAACATTTAGGCACATAATTCCATGCAGATGGTATATTGATAACATCTGCTGGTCTGCTAATATTTTCAGTGACATTGGCGTGCTTTACATGATATACATACTATAATTGTGAATGCTTGTGAATGATATACATGCTATGATTGTGAATGTTTGGCATAAATAAATAAACTAATTTAATTCTAAGAATTTAATACTTTATCAATCATAATTTTATTTAGAATCAAACATGTACGATAGACTAACTTTGGTGTTTGTGGTACCACAGGTGTGGTTCCAAAACCGCAGGGCCAAATGGCGGAAGCAAGAGAAGGTTGGGCCTTCTATGCACCACATTTCGGGTGCCTTCCCTTCGTCCTCCTCCGTCCCTCTTCATCCTCCTCCACTTCCATCATCCTTCATAGGCAGCACATTCTCTTCCCAGTTCCTCACCCCTGCACACTCCTCCAACAAGTCCTTAGATTTCCCTCTGCTCCCCAACATGCCCCGACTCCCCGCCTACCTGGGGGGACTTGTGCCAGGCTGTCTGGGCAGCCTCGGTGCCCTCAGTGGCTTGGGATCAACTCTGAGGAATGATTTTAGTAACCGCATACAGAGGGACTTAACAAACCCACTTCGTGGAGACTTGACAAGCCCTCTTCGTGGAGACTTAAGTTCCCGACTGCCATTTTTCCCCCAATCCCTCCCTCAGTCTACTTACTCGCCAGTCTTCCAGCAATTGTTAGCAGGACTGCAGTCTCCAAACATTCCTGAGCTAAGCGACTACTCGAACATCCTGGCCCCGGGGCTGCCTTCCGCACTGCCAGCTCCTCAGGACGCGGGATCGGCTATGCCAGGATGCAAGGAACAGGAGCGTCGTGCGTCTTCTATCGCCGAGCTACGGCAACGCGCGCGGGAGCACGAGAAGAGGCTGGCGTCGTACGGCCGCCGCCACGGAACAGACGCCAGCGAGCAGTCGCCCTCGCGCCGGTCACCTCGCGCCTCCCCTAAACGAGAAGTTGTCACTTGACTCCGTTTGCTGTCACATTTTACGAAATTTATGTTGAACTTGATTGATATTGTGTACTGTAAAGGTGAATAAAAGTTGTTGACTTAATGTAAGAAAATCAAGAAGAGTTTAGAGGGTGCACTGTCTGTTGTGAGTGGTATTTGTCACACTAATTTTACGTTCTACTGTGACCGTAAATTTTTATTACAAAAGCAGAGACTTCTGGCTTTGTTAATCAAGCTATGGGAAGATTGGATGAAATTTGGTGATGCCGCCCGATTTATTATGATTTGTTCCAAAGGACGATCATTTGATCAATCACCAAATGCCCGTGGATATTCATCTTAAAGAATTTGAAGTAGTTCCACCGATCAAATTGTTGAGATATAACTACACCGTATAACAGAAACTTCCACCCATTTCAATGTTTTATTGAGCAATGAAGATAGCAAAAAAGAATGAAATGAACTTTTAATCGTTCTAAAAGTTTCTACTCGACTATGAAGCGTTGCGATAATATTTGGGATAAATTATTACCATGTCACAAGATTTGGTTCCTACCTGGAAACTCCAACCGGTTTGTGACAGGATTTAATATTAAAATCCGTTAATTTTTGTCCATGGTTGCATGGTGCGTGTATTGCGTAATATTGTATTTTCACGCCTTCAAATAACTTTATAATCTAAATGCGTAAATTAATTTATTCTTTGAAATTCAACAATCCTGCTAGGGAGGACTTAATTGTGCGGAATTGATTCATTTTAAAATTTGTGCGGCCTTCGTGCTGCCTTTTGTTACATTATCCTGATCAATGAAATATTTATATTTTTTTAATGGTTGCTCATTTCTTTTCTCACATTTTTTTATTAATTGGTCATTTCAGGACATCAATAATGTAAAAAATGCATCAGTATTAGTCAGTGGCCTCCATTATTCAGTCCTATCAATGCTGAAAATATCACCTTGGCCTTTTTTCTCCGGGCTCGGCATTTACCTTCGTAAGACGACGTTGTTATCAGCGAACCAAATAAGTTTAAATGTTATAATGCCTCTGAGAACATTCCACCATTGTCCCAATATATTGTTCTTTATTGTTCACTGTATTGAAAACAAGCATTCTTTTTATGAGTGAATACACTCATAATTTACCATACAATTCCAGCTTCTTAATTAATTTAAAACATTAATTATGCCCATATTATATTTTATATTCTAAGATTGTTATAGCACTGTATGAGTGATCAAAATTTAGCTACATTTTAGCCCCGAGTTTGCGCTGTTTTCCGAGAGATGTTGTCACGTTTTAGTTTGTGTGAATCTCTTCTAAATTAAAGTAAGTTTTTATCATTCCCATGTGTTAGAACTTGCCGATAGAACCTGTGAAAAAATTATCTGTAGCTTAAAAATTCTCAAGAGTTCTCATTTTTATGAGCTCGTGAAAGCAGAATGAATCATGAGAGTCCCCTTTGCCTCCCAAATAAATATACGTTGCGTGAATGTGCTTCTCAGTTTTAACCTATTTCTTTAACCTTAGACCTATTACCTAATTCTTCTAGAATTGGATTAGATGAGTACTCGTAAATTACCCCAACCGAAGCAACAGGAACAAATTTTCATCAATGTAAGAAACCTCTGACCACAGAAACGCTTTCAAATAAATGTTGGCAGATGCTGCTTTAATTTATAAATAATTGTACTCCAGATTGTGCAACGATGTATAAATACTGTGTTAAAGACGGTGCTAGCATTCAGATGACCCCAGAAATTCTGGTGTCATACTGCTTCATGGGTCAACTTTAAAATTTATGAACATACAAAAAATTTGAAGATAACATTTATAAAAGCAGCTTGCATGGATATCATAACTAAAAAAATCATGATAGTTGAGATCCAAATTCGAAGTGAAGATTTATCCTTATGCTCAGAATGAGTGGAAAATTTCTTTATCTTCATTACGTGAACTAAAGAGGAAAATTGGCGACGAATTAAGCCACTGAGGCTGTAACCGCCTAGCCATACGGCAAGATACAATGCTTGTACAACACAACGAACCAAATGATTAGCCACTGAGGCTGTAACCGCCTAGCCATACGGCAAGATACAATGCTTGTACAACACAACGAACCAAATGATTAGCCACTGAGGCTGTAACCGCCTAGCCATACGGCAAGATACAATGCTTGTACAACACAACGAACCAAATGATTAGCCACTGAGGCTGTAACCGCATAGCTATACGGCAAGATACAATGCTTGTATAACACAACGAACCAAATGATTAGCCACTGAGACTGTAACCGCATAGCCATACGGCAAGATACAATGCTTGTACAAGCCAACGAAGCAAATGATTAGCCACTGAGACTGTAACCGCATAGCTATACGGCAAGATACAATGCTTGTACAAGCCAACGAAGCAAATGATTAGCCACTGAGGCTGTAATCGCATAGCTATACAAAGTGCACATGTGGCGCGACGTTTGCACAACGCGATATTAAAAATGCCTGAGCACCTGCTGCTATACCGCCCAGTCATACGCTGAGGGTCACAAATAGCGCTATAAATGACTCGACTTCAATTGAGGACAAATGGTTCAGGAATCAGGAAATTATGAGTTGTGGTGAGCGTTGCGATGCTGTCGTATGAATTTTAAGACCAGAGTTAAAGTGATTACCATACAATGGATCCACAGTGCTGCTGCCCACATCTTTGGTGTTATTAAAATTCAAGCGTTGAACCTAGTACAACTCCCAGGTTTATAACCTAACATTTAAAAGCAGTTAGTGAATATAATGCAGTATCACTTATCAGAACCTATTACCCGTACCTCTGGAATCTATTTTTTATAGTGCAGACCTGTGCAGTTCAGTGAAGCCAAAGAAGGTTCATGAGAAACAAAACATCTATTCATCGACCAATAATGCTTAAACTAAATCTTCACGAATCAAATTAAATTTTTGCGGAATACGACCATTTGTTTTTAATGCCTCAATCGGTAATTTTGAAAATAAAACTCTGTATTTGAAGTTTGCATTCACACCAAAAAACGCGAACAGTATTTCCTTTTTAACGAAGCAACACATCATCGCAAATGCAATTTGAATGTAAACGCGCCTTGTTCTTTGGTAAGCGAAAATTTTTGTTACATAATACAACCTTAATTTACATTTTTCATACATGAGTTGAATGATGCAAGGTGCTCTGCTAAATGTGAGTTTGAATTAGCGTTGCGTTTATTAAAGTGCTTTAATTTCTAATTGAATTCTGGATGAGGGGATTCAGGATTACATGTTTCTCAAATCTCAAGGATTATCAAGCGCAAGGCCGGTTTAACCTGCTATAATACTAAATAACACTACAATTATATTGAGCCAATCGTTCGTTTACAATTTTGGTTAAATTAAATGAGTTTAAATTTAAGATTTAATTTAGAAAATATAAGGATTATTGAATTTTCGTGCTATGAACGAAAAAAATTATATAAACGAAAACATCTGATAGCCAATTCAAAACGGAAACAATTAGAGACATTTCATGTAATTGAAGTTATAAAAAAATATAACTCAGTACTCATTGCAGTGAGTGACAGAGAGCGCATTTTCTCGTCGACGAAAACTTGAGGTCACGGACAGACGGACGGACAGACAGACGGACATGGCGAGCACAATAGTGACAGCTCGAGTGACCTCAATGCTTGTGCAACCATGATATATAAGTTCATTTTGAAGCAACTGCACATAGATACGATTATCTTCAATTTCGGCTTCTTTTTGCTGCAAAGTCATTGTTTACGTCGATGAAGAATGAGTTTAGAACAGTTCTATTTTACCTCGATATAGGGGCAGATTACAGCATACTTCTTGTTGAATTAAATGCATAAAATTAAAGTAATGATGTCTACTTTACTTTACTTTACTTACTTACTTACTTACCTAACTGAGATCAGTTCTTTTTTACCTCTAGAGGGGCAGATTGCAGCAAACTTTTTGTTGAATTAAATGCATAAAATCAAAGTAATGATGTCTACTTTACATTACTAAACTTACTTACTTACTTTACTTAACTTAGAACAGTTCTTATTTACCTCTAGAGGGGCAGATTGCAGCAAATTTCTTGTTTAACTCAATATTATAGATTGTCAAACGGTTTTACATTTCAGAATATGAACAACTCATGAAACCGGCCACAATGTTGACATTTTAGAGCTAAAAGTTCCATTTCCAAAAATAGTTCTATGTTGTCACTATATTCACCTATCGCTAGTATTTGTTTAAAAATTTTTGGAGAGATTGTTGGACGATTATAGTTTACCGCAAAATGGACAGATAAATAATTGAACAGTTCTAGTTTACCGTTATATATACTGCATGTACGTTCAAGTTCAGAAAAATACTGCTAAACCTTGAAACGCTTTTACTTTACAACAAAAGAACAGACGGTCTAATCACTTCTTATTTAATACAATCAGCGATGAACCGCAAAACTCATGGCTACTTTCCACAGCCGCATCAGTTTGCTATAACGTCTCTTAAGAGCGACTCTTTGGTTTACCCCATATTTCGGAAGCTTACCTCGTCGAAGCGAAGTTGCTGTACAGAACAAGTTTACGGCACAAAATCATACCAATACCAGCAGCTAACTCAACGCTGGGTGGCAGAGCCATTAAATCAAACTTGACTTATAGAAATCACGCTCATTGTGACAGCGAATCTAATGAGGCATAAGAACGGGGATTCCAGCGGGTGTTTTTAATGGAAGTTCAATTATAAGAACTTGTCGGGCACCGCATTATTGATCCTGGAGCTTCCACATACAGGTTCCCTAGAACTCCTGCTATGTTACAGATACCTTATTATTAATCGTATTCAGAGATGATTAATTCTCTGTTGATACAAGGTCTATTATTACGCTTCAATGACTCGTTTCAGTAACAACCCAAGTTTCATAAATTCAATCCATTAAATCGAACTTTTTCAACTATTTGTAGGTTAATCTACGTTGATTTTACCAAAATCCACCTAACATTAAAACTTCTTGCACCGCTTTCGCTCCCTGTGGCCTTCATCCATTCTTATCATGCCATCACGAGCTGGCGTTCGAATCAGAATCGCATTTCGCATAAGGCTTGGGTGGCAATCATTTTTTTTTTAGTTTTCATTAAAACCTTCAGCCAACAGAACTAAATCACTTACTTGTATGGCAGACAAAGTAGAACACATATTGTACATTTCTGCGCATTGGCTTGAGTGCATAGTTAGTTTAAATTATTATGTAAGTTCAAGCGTATCTTACTGTTTATTTGCTACTGGATTTACAGCGTGGTGGCAATCTTACAGACCCTGAATGTCGGTAGCGAAGCAACAATTGACTTATCAGGGACTGCCTGCATTCTAACTGCATTCATAAGGCAGCTTATTTGGTATCACTCAAATAACATGTAATATTACTATCGTCAAACTATAGTAATATTACTATAGTCTTTTATTTCTAAAGCTGGTATCATCTTTGACTAAAATAATTCATGTCTTATCGTAACATGTTCAAATTTACATCTCAATACGAATTGTAAAAGCTGTCAAATTATCTTCCGAAAAAAGGAACCAATCTGATGTTTCAGCAACGTTCTATAAACTATAGATGTTTTTTACTTGTCGGGATTCTCGCTATAGAAATCAAAGTAAATTAACTTTCGATTTCTCTTAATTATTTTAATCACTTCTTGTTATCACAGCGCAATCAGCGGTTGACAACAACCAAGATGACAGCGCTGCAGGTTAAAGCTTTGATGTAGGTTACGGACTGTCGAAGTTGAATCAAAAATCAGCATTCTTTGTTCAAAACTGCATGATAA